GTCCTGGATTCCCTGTATTTTCAGTTCCTATCTGTACCAGTATACCAATGAGGTGGATTCTTGAACGTAAAATTATGATGTTTTGTTTACTCTGACCTATTCCCTAATAAAAGGTTTTAAAGAACAAACAAACAAACAAGAGGAAGACCCTGCATGAGATGGACTGACGTGGGCTGCAGCAGTGGCGTCAGACGTAACCCTTCTGAGGACGGCGCAGGACCAGCCAGTGTTTCGTTCTGAGTTAGAGCCTGGCCTATCGGAGGACAACGACATCTAGGCACAACAAAGTACCTTTCGTGTAGTGCATTTGAACTTTCCCTAGTTTTCAGTTTTGGTTGATAGTGAGTAAGCAACACTTTAAGAGATTAAAAAAAAAATCTAGAGACATTTTGAGTTTTTCAAAAAATGGCTGATAGCTGTAGGCACAGCACTCCTCTGGCTCGTTTAAAATCTTGATTGATCATGGAGAGGGGGAAGCATGAACCTATGAACGCCAATCTAGACAACAGGGGTTATTCTGGTCCTGACTGCAGCCACCCACGATTCTAGGTGTGAGCTGGGGTTACTGGCAGGTGCACTGCATCCTGGTCACCACCGCCTCCCACTGGTTTGCATCCCCTCCTGCAGAGACTGCACCGTGTACCCTGAGCTCTGGCAGTGGGAAGGTCCAGAGATGGCCATCCTTAAAGGGTCACTCAGTGTCCTTTGTGGCCGGGTGGCATATCTTCTCCAGAGCTCCCTGGGACACAGGCCTTTTGTTTCTAGCTGTGAGGTGAACAGACAGTGTGAGCAGGGAACACCCCCAGCACAGTCTGTGGTAAGGCAGGAAGAGCAGGCCAGGGGCCACCAGGAAGAATGGCAGCTTTCTGTTTGAGCAGGCGACATAAGAGTTAACGCGCTTAGTGCTGCTCTTCGTTCATCCAGCATTCAGATGCGTTTCGCTCTCTCCGAGCCCACATATGTGCCTTGTTCTAGAACACCCACTCTGAGGGAAATGTTGATTGAGGACGAGTCACACACGGTGCTGAAATCATGTTGGGAAAGGGGGTGAGTGAAGCTCCTCTGGGCTGCAGGCCTAGCCCTGGGCCTAGTTCTTGGGCCAGAACTGTAGTCCTCACTCATAGCCGCCTCTTTTTGTTCATCTGAAAAGGGTTAAATGTGTGGGCTTGGCTCTCCCAGCTACTCCCAAAGGTTGGGGTTGTTTAAAATTCCATTTTCTGCTAAGTGAGGTCCTTATACATAAACTAAGTCTTGACACAATTGCTCTTACCTCCGTAACTGTAGAAAGTATTTCTTTCTTTCACTCCAATCACAGTTCCCAAGATATCCACCTGTCTTACTGGATGCCCATTGTAAAAATATACACCTGGGGGGGAAAAAAGGGCAAAATCCATTCGTTTTTGATGTAGAGGTAGTCCATGACCTATGACAGGGGTTCATTCCAATGATTCGTTGGTAAGTCAATTCGGAGTTTAGGTCAAACACCTCATTTTTTCACGATCATATTTTTAACAGTAAATCATCTTAACGTTGAATGGTAACATCACCAAATCGTGCTTTGCCATTGCCACGTTAGACGTCTTGCTTGTGATAACGTGTACTCACACACAAAACAATGTCAATACTAGAATATGTAAGCCAGTCTCACATCGTCTGTGACTTCAAATGTTGCTAGTCTGTTGAGAGGGGAGGTGAATGTGAAAATTCAGTGGCATGCTGCTTGGTGAAATTCCACAGACGTAAGAATCAGCCCTTGATGAATGGCAAAACCACAAGACTGCCAAATTCAGATGTCTTCCACCAGGCTCAGGAGTAGAAAACTTCACTGTAAAGGTGCTTACACTCATGCATAAAAAAAGAAAACCAATTTTCCTCAACTAGATTGGGCTAATCTACTTTCTACTTATAAACATTAAGTAAAGTTCCTTATAGAATAACTCAAAAACTCATTCACTGCCACCAAATCAATTCTGACTCCTAGCGATCCCTTGGGACAGGGTAGAACTACCCCAGAGGTTTCCTAGACTGTAACTCTTTACAGGAGTAGAAAGCCTCATCTTTCTATCTCGGAGGGCACTGGTCATTTTGAACTACTGACCTTGCGGTTAGCAGCCAATGCATAACCACTACACCACCAGGCCCCTTTATAGAACACGGAAACCTGCAAACAGTCATTGTGTTGTGTGACCAGACGCTGTTCTGTCTTTTGAGAGACTGAAAGAAAAAATGACTGAGAGCCTTTGTTGGCTTTTTCTGCAAGTGCTTTGCTAAGAAACCATGCATCATTTCTAGGATTTGAGAAGGCATTTTTAAGGGAAGAGATGTTAACTAGGTTACAAAACATTACTTTGGGGATCAGCAGATGACAAACTCAAGAGGTTTTCTTTTTAAAACCAAACTATAGGTATCAACAACCATGTCCCAGCAAAAGAGGAACCTTGGGGAGTAAACTGTACCCAAGGATGCATGAAGACATTTAGACTTAGGGACAGGTCTCAGACAGGCTTCCTGGGAGTGGTGAGCCCCATTCCGATGAGGTCCCAAGGCTGCCCCGGTTCCTTGCCTCTTCTGTGGACCCCAATATTCTTACCTGAGTTCCTTAGACTGGCTTAAACTACTTCAGTTAGTTTCACAACCAGAGTTTCAACCAAACCCACTGTCCCCAAGTTCATCCTGACTCTTGGTAAGCCTATAAGTAGACCTGCGTGCCATAGCTGCAATCTTTATTTTCTTGGCTGTAATCTTTATGAAGGCAGATCATCAGGCTTCCCTTCTAGGGAACCAGCAGAGGGTCTGAGCCACCCAAGACCTTGCAGAACTCTACAGCACAGTCTACAGGGCACTCTGTGGAAAGATGTTTGAAGTTGTTTCAACCAGAGGTTTCATTGAAAAACAAACACGGGAGACATTATCATCGGTGATGAAGCAAAGACCCCCAGGACCCATTTTCCTTGGTCTCTCTGAGTGAACCAGAACCTTCAGAGTTAAATTAAGCTCTTGTCACTGGCCCCTACGGTGTCCCGGTAATTTCTCGAGCACCTGCAGATCTTTCATTGTAGCTCGCATTTGGTGCGAATTAATTTCTTCCTGAGGAGATGAGCTCTGGAGAATAGCAGACTGTTCTGGAAAACACAACTGTGAGGAGGGATGGGCAGCTGGCTTCCTTCCAAGAAGAAAAACAGACCATTTCCAATAATAATTAGGTCCAAGTCTTTTTTTAAAAAAACTTCTACACGAGGCTGTAGAATAAGGTCACCCAACTATATTTGTATATGAAACTAGAAAGATAAAACCTCATCTCACTACAGCCTGGATTCTTCCGAGTGTTGACTACTTCTGACTCATAACTTGCCCTTCAAAAGGCCCTTGGCTGGAAAGCCTCGCTCAGAGCAGAGTTCATCCAAACTTCCCATAAACACAAATTATTTCAATCTGCCCCCAAAATGATAATGTTTTTATATTCTTAAATTATGAAGAACTTCTCTTTAGTAACCAATAGTTGAATCAACAATGACTGTTTTTTGAAGGCTCATAACATGGCAGGCACTGCTGAGCCCTGGGATCCCAAGGGTGAACATTTCCCCCCAAAAGACGCCTAGACTTTGCAGATGAGCCATGGACCCAGGTTAGGAAAACGGTGACGTTGGATCCTGAGTCAGCTATAGGAATGCCCAAGACCTCCATCTTCCCATCTACCCCCTGAGAGCCAACCAAAGGAAACCAAGCGAACGAATCCAACTATGAAAGACATCAGTCTCAGCAAAAACGTTGCTTCCGGCCAAATGTGACTGCTTTGAAGTTGCATTCACACGGACTAAGGAGCCCTGGTGGCGCAATGCTTACGGGCTCAGGAGAACCGGGAGGTGGATAGTTTGAATCCACCCTTCTGGCGATCTGCTTCTATAACGACTTACCGTTCTAGTGTGCGGTCGAATCGATTCTGCCTCGTAGCTCCCTAGGAGCAGCTCTACTCTGTCTCAAAGAGTCGCTGTGAGTCGGCATGAACTCAAAGGGAATTCAAGAAGGTCCAGACTCGGCCATTCTCAAAACCTGCGGCAGGGAAGGCTCTCCAGTTAGCCCCTAGCCAGGCACATACCTGGCACCTGCCGGGACTCCTTCAGGTCCAGGATATCTCTGATGTAGAGTTTCGCAAAGGCTAGAAACACGGGATCCAGCCCCCAGAGGAGGGAAGGAGTCTCTTCCTGTTCACTCGGGCGGGAGGGATTCGAACTGCTACCAGAGGCAGGGTCGTGGCTTCCGGGCGACTCTAAGGGATTCTGCATGGCTCCTGAGCAGGATCTGGATGCGAGATGCAAAAACCAGGATGCAAGGCGTTTACCTTGGGTGCAAAGTTATTCCGGGTGGGCATGGAGGGCAAACTCAGGGGCCAAGCACCCTGCAGAAATTATGGCTCGGGGCTGAGGAAGGCGGCTTTCCTCCCGTGAGGACCCTCGAATGCCGTGACGCTCCGCCGAACTGCCCCCCGCCCCAGCATTGTCTTTCGTCTACAGCACAGCTAACTTCAAGACCGAAGAGCATTTTGATACTGGGGGTCATGTCGACACAGGCATGGCCCGCACCCGCTTTAATGGGCGGGGCCTAGGGAGAAATGGGCGCCCCTGGCCGACGTGTGTTGGGAGTAGAGTGGGTGGCCGACAGGCGACTTGCCAGTGCACCTTCCGTATTTCAGGTGAAATCAGGAAAAGGAGGAAAAAGGAACTGAAAAACATGACACACCGCGCCGCCGCTGGCCCTCTCCCGGATGCCCGGGCCTTCCCGCCGTTCCCGGCCGCGTGCGCAGACACCAGGCCCAGCGGACGCCCAGCTGGCCCCGCCCGTCCTCCGAGCCGTAGGTCGCTGTCGCCGGCGGGGATCCCAGTTCGGGCGGGCGCCCAACTCCAGAGCCACCTCCCGCCCCGGCGTTTCCTTCCTGCGGCTCCGCCCACCCGCCCGCGGCTCCGCCCACGGCTCAGCTCATCCGCTCGCGGACTCACCCCCGCCCTCCTGTGGCCCCGCCCATCCGCTTGCGATCCCGCAAGGCCCCACCCATCCGGTCGCGGCCCCGCCCCATCATGCACGCCTGGCGGTGGCTGGCCTGCACAGAGCTGCCGGCGCTTCTTTTGCTGCGCTCTGGCCTTTCTCTCATCCTGACTGCCAGATTCCGGATGGAGTTAAGAGCCACGTCCGGAGCGCAGGACTCTAATTTAGCCTAAATCCTGAATTGCAGAGGTTCGTGTGTGTGTGTGTGTGTGTGTGTACACTCGCGCACTGATTGTGACCCTACCCATCCTCACAATCGTGTCTATGTTTGAGCCCATTGTTGCAGCCACGTGTCAATCCCTCTTCTTGAAGGATTCACTCTCCTATGCTGACCCTCTACCAAGAAGGACGTCCTTCCCAGAGAGTGATCCCTCCTCATGCCATCTCCAAAGTATGTGGGCCCTGTCACCATCCTTGCTTCTAAGGCGCTTTCTGGCTGTACTTTTTCCGAGATAGATTTCTTAGTTCTTTTGGCGGCCCAAGATTAGTCAGCGTTTTTCTCCAACACCATCATTCAAATGCATCAGTCTTCAGTCTTCTTTATTTATTGGCCGCTTTCATATACATATGACTTGGGTCAAGTGCACATTAGTTCTCAAAGTGAAATGTTTGCCTTTTGATTGCTGATATCTTAAGCAAAGAAAGCAGAGCAACATCAAAAGCAGCACTTCATTGTGGCACACTTTTTTGTCATTAAAAAATAGAGAGAGAATGCGCACGGCAACACATACACCAATTCAACACTTTCTCCGTGTCTCCGTGTACAGTTCAGTGACATTGATTACATGCTTCACTGAAGAACCATTCACACCCTCGTCCCCTTTAACACAAACTCAACTATCCTCTAAGGCTCCTACCTAGTTTTTTTAGTTGATCCCACATAGATCGTTCTTTAAAAAAAAAAAATCATACTGAAGACAGATATCTTTAACTTGATAAGCTAAATTATTGTTTGGTCAAGGCATATTTTTGGTTTAAGTTTTAAAGATTAGGGCTGACCTGTCAGATGCCCTAGAGATCTCAGGGCGATCATTTTGTATGGCTTCAGAAAATCTTGAGTCCGTCATTATTTGAAATTCTGTTCTGCATTTCCCTCTTTTGCTCAGGATTCTTCTTTAGCATCTCTGATGAACAAGATTCTCAGCAATGGTAGCCGGGCACCATCCAGTTCTTCTGGCTCCCGGGCACAGGAGGGAGTTGCTCATGGAGGACGTTAGCACTGCAGAGTTCTTCCAGTGCCTATTTCTACTTTATGACTGAGTTATTGACACGCACACACTGTAGGACTCTAGTCCTAGTTGGTGATGGCATCAGTATTTGCATGTGAGCTTTTGTGCGAATGCAAGATTTTGGCCCAGTTCAGGAACAGTCCTGCAAGATCATGACAATACTTTTCTTTCTCTCCTTTCCTCTTGCTTGATCTATAATGTTGTATACTGACATTTTGGTAAATCGTGGCCACCTTGATGTAGCTTTATCCTCAGCAGTCCTGATTTAAGACAAGAAAAGACCACCCCAGTCCACTCCCACAAGTAACTAAATAAACTACATCATGGCATGACCGCAGATGGCAAGAGGTCTTCCTAATTTATAGGGACTCGGTGAAATCACAGAAGTACAGGCAGTCTCAGCAGGCCATTCCTGGAGGAGACGCTCTCGGTGGCCAGAGAGATCATTGCTAAACTATTTAGCAGGGAAGGAACTTGAAGCAGCTGGGATGGAAAATGTGTGTAATTAGATTGATGGATTTAATTATGTCTGCCTAAAAAAGCAGCAAAAAACAAAACAAAAACCCAAACCAAAAAAATCAAAGCCTGTGGGAAAGTGCAGCATCACTCAGCTTCTATGGCAGGGAGCAGTTGGGTCTGTGGCGGTTAACATTTAATTAAGAGAACACTTCCTCTCTAATACAAGGCTGCCTTGCCTGAAGGAAGCACATCCAACAAGACAGGTGCTCGGGCTGACCCATCAGATGGGGGAGGAGAGGTTGGGCCACATTTGCCTGTCTGCATACATCTGCCCCAGGGTGGAGCCCAGGAAGAGAATCAGCAGTTGAGTGTACCCAGAACCGGAAATGACTTACAGAATGGCTCTCAGGAATGAGTCTGGGGGATAGAGAACTGGAGGTAAGAGGCACAGGGACTCCTAGCTGTCCGCTGTGGAGAGTCACACCCAGGTGGTGGAAAGCAAAGCCTGATGTCCCTGGTGTCAATTTATACTCTGAAAGGAGCACTCCTGAGAGCCTCCGGTGGTCCTGTTTGGTCTGAACTGAACAACTGAAGGAGAAGGTTGCAGCTGCAATCCAGGATGAGGTGTAAAAGCAGAATTTCCCGACTTAAAATGGGAAGGTCTTTGCAGTCTCCATCGGGATAGATCCAGGTTCCCGAGCCTTCGCCGGAGGTGTGCAAAGGGACTCCAGAAGTTTCCGTGCACACCAGGGAGCTCTTTAGCTTGGGATTCTCCAACACTTCAAAGCAGATGGTTCACAGCCCAACAATCAGCACTGACTTGTGACTTCACAGAATGAAATCACTCGCTTTGGTGATTTTTGAATTGGCACGTTTTGCAGTTCAGACTTTAGCAGAATCCTTTGGGGGGGGAAATGAGATCGAGTTAGACATCTCGAAGTAAAAATGATCTCATTTGAACTTAACCATTGTGACATCTTTACAAAGAGCTTCTGTTAGAAGTTTGTAACAAAGAAAACTTAGTAACCTTCTTTTCGTGTCCATGTTAATACCACGAGGGGAGATCTTTCACACATTGAGCACCCCCTGTCTTTGCCATTGTGTTACGAGTGAGCACTAGGAACCTGTACTCCACTAGGGCAAAAAAGAACAATGCATACAACACATGAAGCAACAAAGCAATAGGTGAGCTTATGATCCAGTACAGCATGAGCGGCCTGCATAATAAATGCTCTAGGAGCTGGAGGATTTAGTCATAGTATTAAAGTTAATGCTGGGCCTCATTAAGTGAAATAACGTAGATCATGACTGGAATACAAGAGAATACTCAATGCATGTAAAGCATAAGTATTCATTACAGAGTTGAGAATTAACTTGGGTTTTCAGACGATTGAATAGCTGTCCATTCATTCATTTCAAAAATACATGCAATGTATTTATAAAGGATGTGTCCACATTGTGCTAGAGAATGAGGATGAGAAGGAAAAAACCCTCTTGTTTTCAGTCCTTCTCTGGGGGAAGAAGGGGTCTTGCAATTGCTAATAATTAGGCAGGGGAATCTACTTCACTTAGATGTATTTCATCTGATGAGGTGAGCTGATATGCCATTTAGGCCGAGATCTGGAGGATGAGAAAGAACCTGCTATACAAAGGGCCTGAGCAAATTCCTGATCCCAGAGGAGGGAAAGCATTTTGTTCCCAGAATGGAAGAGTCAGAGGGGGGGCGTAGGAGAGGAAGAGTGGTTGGGAAGGTAGCTGAAGAGGGAGGTAGAAGGCAGATCACGTGGAGCCTTGGAGGTCATGAGATAGTTGGATTTTCCTCTTAGTCTCCCTGTGTGGAAAGGGAGGGAGATGATGATGACCTTGGGATGGGATGGGATGGGATGGGAGCAGAGCAAAAGCGGTAGGAGGAGCAGGGCATGTTTAAGGGTCAGCAGACACGGACATTAGCTGTAGTAGGAACAGCAGGAGATGAGGCCAGAGACAGAGATGTGGGAGACATCCTAAAGGGCTTCCAGTCACTTTAAATTCCATCCTGTAAGCAAAAGAAAAGGGGCCTTGGTGGTGCCGGAGTTAAGCACTCCTCTGTGAGAGCCGAAAGGCTACCAGTTCAAACGCACCAGCGGCCACCGTGGAGGGAGAAAACCCTATGGGGCAGTTCTACTCTACCAGAATCCACTCGATGGCAACAAGGGGTTTTGGTTAAGCTAAAAAAGAAACCAAAAAAAAGTTGGTGGTGGTTATTGATTGATAGAAGGTTGCTTATTGATTGACCAGAGGAATACTTTAATGACTTAAAAATTGAAGGGACGCCAGCCAGGGCTATCAATAACACGGTTCCAAATGCTTTCAAATTTATGGTGACCTCAAGTGTGTTAAAGTGGAATTATGTGATCTAGAGTTTTCCATGACTGGTTGGGGGGGTGGGGGTGTTAAATTGCCAGGTCTTTCTTCTGAGGTGCCTCTGGGTGGACTCAGTGAGCAGCTAATGCATCTTAATTGTCAGTGACCCAGGGATTCCAAAGCCCTGAGGGAGAAAGTAGTCTCTCAAATCCACTGAATGGATCCTCAAAAATGGACTGGGCAGGATGGAGTAAGGGAGGGCAAAGGGGAGCCACTATCAAGGAGTTCAAGAAGGAAGAACATGTTTTGAAATGGATTGTAGTAGCAATTGTCCAATACTGCTTGATGTGATTGAACTACGGAATGGTATGATAGCTGCAATAGTTCCCAATGAAATGGGTTTGGGGCTGGGGTGGGCGGGGAGTGGACTGAGAGACATTTGCTGGTTGATGGTGAAGAAAGGCCCGGCTTTGCTTCTCCACGCCTGCGTTGCTGCCCCCTCAACTTTGCTCAGTCTCCGTGATGGCATCCTCTCCTCTCTCTAGCTTCGCCCTGGCCCAGGAGCAGCAGTGCTCCCTTGCTTGCTATGTCTCATCCAACATCTTTCTGAAAAATAGCCTTTCAGAAGCTGCCCTCACCTCTGGCTCTTGCCCTCTGGCTCTCTCTCCCTTCACAGCTAAGCTTCTTGGAAGTGTCAGATGCATTTCCTAGGCCCCCATTTTGGCCTGGAATTCAACCTCCATACGTGGACTCCCCGTCATCGCTAACCCCAGCTCAGACCACCACACCACTGAAACTGTTCTCCTGAGGTTACCACACAGTCTCCTTCTTAAATGCAGCGGATACGCTCCCTTCCTTATCATTCCTGGTGATTTGTGTGTGATTTCCGCCCTAGGACTTGCCGTCTTCGGTTTGCTCAAATTGTCTCCCGCCCCCCCCCCACCGTGGCTTCCGGATACATCCTTTTTTTGGGTTTCCCTTCTAATCTCTCTTTCTTCCTCCTTAAAGTCCTCTTCCTCTGTAAACCCCTTACATCTTGTTGACACTCACCAAGGTTCAATCTCTGCTCACTTCCCCTCTCACGCCCCAGTCCCTCTCTGAGTGACCTATAGCCTATAGCCTCCGATAGTCACTCTCAACTCTTCGCATCCACGAACTCTCGCCTAAGCCCAACCTCGGAACTTTCAGGATGACTGTCACCATCATCAGCCATTCAATTGCCCAAGCTAGAAAACTGGAAGGTTTCTTCTGCACCTCCCTCCCTCTCATTCTTTGATGTCACATGAGGATGTGTCCATTCGACTTCCCAAATTTGCACTCCTGATTCCCCCCTCCTCATCCCTGTTGCCACAGCCTGAATCTTTTGTCATTTTCTGCTTGGATTCCTGCCACCACCCTCCCACTCGTTCCTCTGCCTCTCCTCTGGCTTCCTGCCATCTTCCATTCACCATGCACTCAGCTGCCAGGATGATCTCTGTACAGTGCAAATGTGACACTGCTCCGTACTTGCTTCCAGTCTCCCAGTGGAGCCAGGCCCTCTGCAGAATAAACAGAAAGGCCCCTAGCCTTTCATGCCCGATTTCCCGTGGCCTGCCCACAACCCACTTCTCCCGTCCATCTCTACCCCCCTCACCCCCCATGGCTCCTTTCGACCCTAGGCAAGCATGCCCCAAACAGTCTTTGAAGGAGCACTTCTTCAAGATAAGAAAAATGTGGTCAAGTAAATTCAGAGAAGTGATAAAGCGGATTTCAACGCAATAACGTGCACTGAGAACATTCAGGAACGGAATCGATGGATTAAAGGGCAAGGAGCCAGTGGTTGTTGTATTTCACTGAATAATCTGAGAACATCGCTAGGAACTCAGTTTAGGCCAGGCTACTGAAAGCATTTGAGAAACAGTTTCTACAAGATGCCTTGGTCTCTTTTGCCTCTCCCCGCTCTGCCTGGGAGGTTGTTTACCTATTCATTCGCTTATTAACGAATTCATTCATTTAACAACACTTAGTGTACAGCAATGGCATATACTGAAACTTGCTATGTGATGGCCGTTCAGAAGGGAAAGCCACTCCGGTTTGGTCGCAATACATCCTGATAAGCAGTGAGTGCCTGCACAGAACAGGGTGAGGGAGAGCTGAGTGTGGGGAGTTGAGAGTCAGTAATTTCCCCCCTCTTTCTTCACTTCATTATCTCTGACCGGAGTCGGTTTCCATCTCATGCATGTTGTGTCTG